TCTGTATTGCTGCAGTTGGGTTACATTGTGACGTACCCAGCATGGCTAATCTACACCGCCATCCTGAGGCTTTTCAAGAATCCCCGTCCTGCAATTACTCTGAAGGATCCTGAAGTGAAGTATGCATTGAGACTGATTGATAAGGAGGTAGGTGCATGGGCGGTGCTGAGCATGACCTCTCCGTGGATACTGTGAAATGCTTACAGCTTCTTAAAGCTTGGGTAATGTTGCAGCAGGTGAATACTCATATTTTAAGGAAAGGACCTTTGTAAATGCTCCTTGGCTAGTATAACTGAGTTCTGCAGTTCTGGAAGCAGCTTGTTTCCAAGCAGGTTAGAGTGGAGAATGCTGCTTTAGAAATGACCAAACTCGTAGCTTCTGTCACGTGTGTCTCATGTTATGGAGTACATCAGCAAAAATTTCTAAACTCTGCACTACTAGGTTGGCTATGAGACAGAAGTCCCGCTGTCGGGCAGAGCAGGCAGTTTTTTCATGGTCAGTAGCATTCAGCATAGTAGTTGTCAGAACCACATTAATACTGGTTCCTGTTATTGGATATATGTACTCTAATGTGTTACAGGAAGAAATATGTTTAAGTGATGTGGTCCTGACAGCACCTGAGCTGTCTCAGATTCTCTTTCTTTCTGTTAAAAGTAGAAGCCATTCTCTACCTCCTGGGCTGCTCAACCAGGTTTTCAGAGGAAAGTCATGACTCTTCAGGAGTGGATCTTGCTATCAGAATTTGGTAACTCAACTTGTGGGAAGGGGACCAAAGCCATGAAAGGTCCAGATTTCCCTTGGGTAGACTCACCATCAAAAGCATGAGATAGAAATCTGGGCTTTTCAGGTGTGAAGCCACACCTGAAGATACTTTCAGTGTTGACTTTTTAAGTCAGTGAGCTAGTCATAAAATTATCAGAAGAGTTATGATGAAAAGGACTTTGGAACAGAGCTTTGTCTGAGGTGTAGAGAGCGCACTGATAGCTTGGCTTCCATTTGTTCCATCTGTCAAGGGGAACAATTACTGTCACTCTGAATCCTGGTTTTGTGGGAACTGAAAGCTTCCCTGTGGCTTGGGCTGGGTGGCATTACTGAATTTTTCCTGTGTGTACTGGATGAGGACTTTAATCTCAAAACACCTGTCATTGCACAAAAACATTTTAACTTGGGAAGAGATCATGATGCTCTGTGTGGTTGTGGAGCCTACTCAAGACTTCTGTGCAGTTGGCTAAAGTTTACCTTCCATTGCAAGAGGAATTTCAGTACACTGGTTTTAACTTGTAGTGTTGCTCCTTTCGTGTGCCCAGCCTAGCTAAAAACCCTCATATTTTTAAAGTTTCTGCTATTCCCATGTTGGTATTTATCATTCCCGTTTTGTGATTGTGAAGCTGTTGGTACCTTCACCAGCAGAGTGCCAAAATTATATGTGTTTAAACCAAAAATTGAACAAATGAACGCCCTGTTCTGGGAGTAGCCAGGGGTTGTAATTTCTAACCTGACATATTTTGATGATACGGTTGAGACTATGGCCTTGCAGAAACTTTTCTTAGTGGACTGTGGCCCAAGCAGGCAAACAGGAAGCTTGACCATGAAAGGAAGTGGCGGGAACTGCTTAGACTGATTTCATGGCTAAAGAAAATGGACTGGGGATTGCAATGGAAAACTGAGTCGCATGTATTGGGCTGCCATACAGCAATACACGTATGTGAAATTTCAGGATTCCACAGTTACGTAGAAACAGGTTTTAGGTGTCTGCAATCTGAAGTTTGAAAAGCACTGGTCTGGAGAGTGCCTAGTTTGACATACGTGTATCTTTTAAAACAGCTTAGTTTTTTGTGTATGAAAGCTGGAAATCAAATGTACCATTTTGCTGACTTGTTGCAAGCAGAAGCCTTTCTTCCTCTGCCTGCTGTCTGCCTTTTATCCACCAGCTGAAAAGCTAACATCTGCCCAAATCGAGTATGATACACCTCCCATCTGTTGAATGGAGAAATAAAGGTCACAGGGCTGCTTCCTAGTGTTTAGCATAGGGAAAAAATGTCATACTATAGTTAGGTGTGCTAATTTAGTTTATGCCTTAAAAAAGCCCACAACCTCAGGGCTTCCTTTGTAATGGTAAACATAATTCATTTGTTGCCTTTCAGTGGTTTCAGTAAAGCACCAGCCTGCAAAGACTGTTCTCCAGCTTTGCATTTGCAGTTGTGTGTGTGGAAAACTCCTCAGCACCTGCAACGTGAGACAGAAATCCATGCTGCTAGCTGGAAGCCAAGGGCTTCCAGGCACTTAGGGCAATGCCAAATGATGGCTCTGGGGAATGCAGTGGAGATGATCCTGTGCTGGAAATGGCTTCCGTGTCCTGTTTCAATGCCATCTTTACTCTAGCCTTGACTAACGACTTGCTGAATGACATGCTCAGTGTCTTGGCCATGTAACAGTCTTCTGAAATCATCTTCTACATTGAAATGGTTAATTCATCTGATTTTGAGACATCAAAATGATTTTTTTTTGGCCTTGAACTCCTGCATATTTAAACTTTAAATGAGAGTTGAAGAATTGATTAATTTTTATCTTGTGGCCTTATCACAGAAGGCGATGTAAATGTTCATACTGTTTAGAAAGTTATCATTTAGTCTTAATCTACATATGAGCATCTTATTAAATTTTGCTATTCACATTTAAGTATACATCAAAACAGTATTTACATTTGTCTGTCTTATTTATGTTTTTACTTCCCTATTACTTCTAAAATATTTTGAGATGAAGTTAAGTTTTCAGGGAGTTTGAATAAAAAGTTGACCTCTGCAGGACTGCTACATTCAGAGGAGTTCATATTTGCATTATGCAAAGATTTTAATTAGGATGCTGCTCTCCCCCAAATATTTAGTCCTGTGGGAAGCCAGACTAGGTTATTGGTTTTGCAAGTGAAATCACAAACATTTGTGATGATAGGGTGACAGATGGGGTACACCTGTCTCAAAGGGGGAAAGGCATCTTTGCACAGGAGTTAGCAGGGCTCACTGAGAGAACTTTAAACTAGATTTGAAGGGGGAAAGTGATAAAACCAGGCTGGCCTAGAGATAAGCCTGGAGGTGGCACACCAACATTTGAGGGATGGTGTGCTAGCGAGGTCCTTTGGTCTGCCATCTCAATGGAGGTAGGGGATAGAGATCCATGCAGCAGGAAAGACGCAAGGGTTGTGGATGTATTAGAAACCACAGAAGCGCCTGAAAATGGTCACGTGGGAATTAGGGCTTCTCCCCCCAGAAAGGTGGTGGGATCAATGAAGTGCATCTACACCAATGCACGCAGCATGGGCAGCAAACAGGAGGAGCTGGAAGCCATTGTGCAGCAGGAAAACTATGACATAGTTGCCATCATGGAAACATGGGGGGATGGCTAGCACAACTGGAGTGCTGCAATGGATGGTTAAGAACTCTTCAGGGCAAGGATGGAGAGGTGGTGGGGTAGCCCTGTGTGTTAGGGAGTGTTTTGATTGTCTAGAGCTTAATGATGGTGATGATAGGGTTGAGTGTGTATGGGTAAGAATCAGGGGGAAGGCCAACAAGGCAGATATCGTGGTAGGAGTCGGTTATAGACCACCCAACCAGTGTGAAGAGGCAGATGAAATCTTCTATAAGCAGCTGGGAGAAGTCTCACAATTGTTCGGGGGACTGTAACTTAGCAGATGTCTGCTGGAAATGCAATACAGCAGAGAGGAAACAGTCGAGGAGGCTCCTGGAGTGTGTGAAAGACAACTTCCTGACACAGCTGGTGAGTGAGCCAACTAGAGAAGGTACCCGCTGGACCTGTTGTTTGTGAACAGAGAAGGACTTGTGGGTGATGTAACAGTTGGAGGCCATCTTGGGCATAGTGATCACAAAATCTGATTCTTGGAGAGGTAAGGAGAGGGATCAGCAGAACTACTACCTTGGACTTCTGGAGGGCAGACTTGGGCCTGTTTAAGAGCCTGGTTGACAGAGTCCCTTGGGAGGCAGTCCTGAAGGGCAAAGGAGTTCCTGAAGGCTGGACATTCTTCAAGAAGGAAGTCTTAAAGTTGCAGGAGCAGGCTGTCCCCATGTGGCAAAAGATGAGCTAGTGGGGAAGAAGACCAGCCTGGCTGAACAGAGAGCTTTGGCTGGAAGTCAGGGAAAAAAAGGAGAGTTTATGACCTTTGGAAGAAGGGATAAGCAACTCAGGAGGCCTACAAGGATGTTGTGAGGTTATACAAGGAGAAGATCAGAAGGGCGAAAGCCCAACTAGAACTTAATCTGGCTACTGCTGTAAAAGGCAATAAAAAATATTTCTGTAACTACATTAGCAACAAAAGGAGCTCTAAGGAGAATCTCCATTCTTTGTTGGATGTGGGGGGAAACATAGTGAGAAAGGATGAGGAAAAGGCTGAGGTACTTAATGCCTTCTGTGCCTCAGTCTTTAATAGTAAGACTAGTAGTTCTCTGGGTAGTCAGCCCCCTGAGCTGGAAGACAGGGACGTGGAGCAGAATGAAGCCCCCACCATCCAATGGTTAACCATGGTTAACGACCTGCTACACCACTTAGACACACACACGTCTATGGGGCTGGATGGGATCCATGAAAGGGTACTGAGGGAGCTGGTGGAAGTGCTCACCAAGCCACTTCCCATCATTTTTCAGCAGTCCTGGCTAACTGGGGAGGTCCCAGTTGACTGGAGGTTAGCAAGTGTGATGCCCATCTATAAGAAGGGCCGGAATGAGGATCTGGGGAACTACAGGCCTGTCAGTCTGACCTCGGTGACAGGGAAGGGTAGGGAGCAGATAATTTTGAGTGCCATTACACAGCAGGTACAGGACAGCCAGGTGATCAGGCCCAGTCAGCATGGGTTTATGAAAGGCAGGACCTGCTTTACCAACCTGATCTCCTTCTATGACAAGGTGACCAGCTTAGTGGATGAGGGAAAGGCTGTGGATGTTGTCTACCTGGATTTTAGTAAAGCCTTTGACACCATTCCCCACAGCACTCTCCTGGAGAAACTGGCTGCTCGTGGCTTGGCCGGGTGTACTCTTTGCTGGGTAAAAAACTGGCTGGATGGCCAGGCCCAAGGAGTTGTGGTGAATGGAGTTAAATCCAGTTGGCGACCGGTCACGAGTAGTGTTCCCCAGGGCTCAGTTCTGGGGCCCGTTCTGTTTAATGTCTTTATCAATGATCTGGATGAGGGGATTGAGTGCACCCTCAGTAAGTTTGCAGATGACACCAAGTTGGTCAGGGGTATTGATCTGCCTGAGGGTAGGAAGGCTCTACAGAGGGATCTGGACAGGCTGGATCAATGGGCCTGAGGCCAACTGTATGAGATTCAACAAGGCCAAGTGCTGGGTCCTGCATGTGGGTCACAACAACCCCATGCAACGCTACAAGTTTGGGGAAGAGTGGCTGGAAAGCTGCCTGGTAGAAAAGGACCTGGGGTGTTGGTCAATAGCCATCTGAATATGAGCCAAGAGTGTGCCCAGGTGGCCAAGGTGACCAACATCATCCTGGCTTGTGTCAGAAATAGTGTGGCCAGCAGGACTAAGGAACTGATTTTCCCCCTGTACTTGGCACTGGTGAGGCCGCACCTTGAATGCTGCGTTCAGTTTTAGGCCCCTCACTACAAGAAGGATGTTGAGGTGCTGGAGCATGTCCAGAGAAGGGCAATGAAGCCAGTGAGGGTCTGGAGCACGAGTCTGATGAGAAGTGTGGCTGAGGAAAGTGAGGTTTGCTTAGCCTGGAGAAGAGGAGGCTGAGGGGAGACCTTATTGCCCTCTACAACTGCCTGAAAGGAGGTTGTAGCGAGGTCAGGATTGGTCTCTTCTCCCAAGTAACAAGCCATAGGATGAGAGGAAATGGCCTCAAGTTGTGCCAGGGCAGGTTTAGATTGGATATGAGGACAAATTTCTTCACAGGAAGGGTTGTCAAGCATTGCAACGGGCTGCCCAGGGAAGTGGTTGAGTTCCCATCCCTGGAGGTATTGAAAAGATGGGTAGACGGGGTGCTTAGCGACATGGTAGACTTGGCAGTGTTAGGTTAACGGTTGGACTTGATGATATTAAAGGGCTTTTCCAACCTAAAAATTCTATGATTCTATGATTAAATCCAACAACATAGCTGATTGTTCTTTTTATTTTCCTCTTTCAGGAAGTTAGTCATGACACAAGAAGATTTCGATTTGCTCTCCCTTCCATGGATCACGTTATGGGTCTCCCTGTAGGTACGTTCTGTCTTTCCTTACTGAGAATCTAAGTGTTGTTAATTACATTATAAGAGATTTTGTGGGGATTTTTTTTTTCCTACATTTTGAACTGTTGAATTTCGAATACTTTTCGAATACTGTCCATGTGGCTTGAGCTGGTATTTAGAGCTTTGCAAGATTATCCTCATGGTGTGAGTCATCTGCAGGGTCTGAAATCTTGTGTACTTACAGAGAGTGTACATCCAGCTTGTTTCTGTGAAGACAGTAGAAACACTGGTCCTGTATTTTTCCAGTCTCAACTTCCCAGTGTGTGTTATTCCCATGGTGCTTGGTCTATATGGTCCCTTCCCATCCCCTGAGGAAGCATTCTCAGCTACTTCTCCTCTAACACATGCGGTTTACCAGATGATCTGTTCACTTATGAATTTGCAGCCAGTCTCACAGAACTTAATCACCACGGGCTAGATGTTTCCTTAGGCCTTGCCATGTGGCATGTTGCCTTCCATAATAGCTTAGTGCTATTGTTTCCTACTGCTTACTTAAAGAGCATTTAATCGTGACTTCTGTTTAATAGGGAGTTCTGCTTTAACAACCTGTTGCAATGATCTGTGGATCAGGCACTTTGTGGCAGTCCTCAGCACCTTTCCAGCTTTACATTCCATCGTGTTTAGGTTCCCTCTTGTTTGGGATATATTATTCTCTTGATCGTCTTAAGTAGCCATGAGGGCAAAACTAGGTTCCCTCCCTTGTCCACATTGAGGAGTGAGCTGTCTCACCTCTGTAATGGGTCTTGTCCTACCTGCTAACAGAAAGGAAGCCGTCTGGGGTGAATTGGCCTGCTGGAGGCCACAGCTTCTTCCAGGGTTTTAGTAAGGGCAGGGCAAATCAGCCAGTTGTTTCAGTGTAGCCCAGGAAGGTGCCTGCCTGGCCCTGCGTGATCCCAGGAGCAGCATAGTCGTGCTCCCGAAGGTGCTCTGCATGGGCTAATCTGCGGGTGACCGAGGGAGTGGTTTACTGGGCAAGACTTGGGAAGCAGAGAGAGCTGAAAGCTGGTGAGGGTGGTAAAAGCAGCTGGGAACAGCAGGCTTGGCAGCCATGGGACAGACACTGATGTGCACTCTGCATGTTTAGTCCAGCACCAGTGTTTTGCTTTTACCACCAGCAGGAGCATTATAGGAAAAAAATTCGTTTCACTCTGAGGGAGAGTGGGATTGTGTATGGCTCCGCGCAGAGGCTGCCAGGAGCTGTCCTGTCAGGGCGGGGTGAAGCTCTAACTTGTAAGAGCATAAGGCATGTTTTCCCTTTGGGAGGAGCGCCTGTTTTGGATTTGTACCAATTCTTGTGAGACATGCCCCAGCAGCGGTCCTGTCTGCCTACGTTCACAGTCTGCAGTTGTCACCATGGGCCTGTTCCTGGAAGAGGGGATGGCGAGGCCACCCCTTGCCTGGAGGAGGGATGGGAGGCTGCTGCTGCAGCTCCCTTCAGGTCTGCCTGGCAGGAAACGTGTGCTACCACATCTCTATGTACAGCTTCAAGGGAGTTAATGGTCACTCATTTCCCAGGTCACCAGGTAGCCCATCTTCATTCACCCACTGGTTTGCCTCACTGGCCCTCTTGCTTGGCAGATCAGTTCCCGGTAAAATCCCCTCTTTGTGTTCCCACAACAGGCAGAGGAGCTGCACCATCTTTGGAGAGCTGCAGTCATCTTAAGATAGAGTTTGTTCTGTTGACCTAGTGGTGATAAAATAAAAAAAAAAAATCCCCCCCCAGGTATTCTTCACTTGGGTCTCCTCAGGATATTGGAATTTTATAGGAAAACCTTTCAAAGGAGTTAGTTCTAATTTTTTTTCATCAAAAACATAGACATTGAGAAAATAAACTATTGTAGAGAGTTCAGAGAATGTGTGATGGACTGAAACATGATCGCTACATTCAAATGTTAAGCTGGATGAATAGCAGGGTTAGAAAAGTGCTTTATGTCTAGGCAGCCTTAGCAGTGGCAGCGGGGAGACCTGGTAGACATGAGCGACCTGTGGTCAAAGTAAGAAGTCGAAGTTATAAACTTAGTTGTAACTACACTGTAACAGTTTATAACTAACGTGTAAATAAAGAAGTGTGAACAGCACTTCACAGTTTTGCCCTCCTGTGTCCTTTTTATTTGTCTGTATGGGAGAGACTTATCGCATCCTTTGCAAGATCTCATGTACAGTTAGGGCTTTGGTAAATGTAAATGCATGAAGTTCTCAGAACATATGTGATTGACACATAAAATCAGCAGTGGAGTTGTTTGCTCTTCCAGGTAGAATCTGCATGGTTAACAACGCTGGCAAGGTATTACAGTGTCAGGAAAATGAGGGGTTAAAAAGTGGTGCCCCAAAACAAGGTAGTTAGGAAAACTTTGAGACTGTGTTTGCAGTTTTCTTTTGAAAGCAAACTGCTTTTTTTCTTCCCCACGTACAGGACAGCATATCTATCTGTCTGCACGGGTTGATGGAGCTCTGGTTGTTAGACCTTACACTCCAGTTTCCAGCGATGATGACAAGGGCTTTGTGGATCTTGTTGTCAAGGTGAGAATGTCATGCTCTTTCACCAGGCTGGGCAACTTCTGAGCCCACCTTTACACTTGCAGTGCTATGTGAAGTCTGATGTGCTGGCTTCTGTTCAGTTATGTGCCACTGGAGGAAGCAATTCTTCAGCGAGTGTGTTTCATGAGATGCTGCATAATTTTCTGGTTTTTTATACTGCAGTTTTCCAAAATTTGTGTAGACCTGCAGATGTTAACACACTTTTTTAATGCTTCTGAAATAAGGAATTAACCTTGCCTGAACTGTCAGCTTCTTCTGAAGCTAATGTAACATGGTCATTAAGAGCAGTGATCATTATTGTTACTGATCCAGACAGTGTGAATGACTGATTTAATTGGCAAGAATGTGATTTTGAATCTTGTGATAATGTACTTTTGTTTTGTCTCTTGGTAGCTAGCCTAAGCAAATATATTTGAAGCTGACAGGAGCTTAAAACCTGAATATCTGCACTGGATTTCCTCTTAGAATTTTATTCAAGTTTTTTTTTCTTCTTTACAACTAATAACACTTTATTCATTTATTGTGAAACTAGATGCGAATTTGCCTTTTACTGCCTGCTTATCTTCCTGAGCATGGCATTGCACACTGAAGACAACAAGGGAAAAATGTACACCTTTGACTCAGATAGACATGTTTCACAAGCTTCCTTCTTCCCAGTGTGGCTTCCCATGCATGCAAATGATGCTGTTCTTGTTAAAGTGTAGCTAGTCTCAGCTTGAACCCTATCTCACCACTGTGATTTAAAACAAAAAAATCAGCGCAGTTCCACCAATGTGATTACACCCGCTGACCTGTTGATGAACAGCTGGATGTTCAATTACTTGGTATCCACTTTTTTTGTTACTCTTAACTTTCAGGTGCAAACAGTTGGCATCCCAAGAAGAAGGTTTGGGTATATCCCTTTGCAAGGGAGCTGTCGGGGATCTTTCTCAGAAGTTTCTCTGAAATCACAGTGGCTTTTTTTTTTTTTTACTTCCCCCCCCCCCCCCCCTTTGAACTTGGCTGTAAATAATGTTAATTATTTAGAGATATTTTCTATCTTGCAGAAATACAATGGAGAAATTGCCAGTCTGCCCAATCTGATAAAAATTGGGGTGAGAGTGGCATTTTAATCTTTCAGAAAAGTCAGTGTATCTCTCTTACTGGCAGTCAAATCTGCATTGATAGTATTTCTTTATGTAGTAATTGTGTTCTTTGCATGAGAAGAATGGGTACCTAAATATTTGAAGGGCAAATGCTCATCTTTGAGCTGTGATAATAAGTGCTTCATTGTTACTTTTAACAGATCTACTTTAGAGGTATCCACCCGAAGTTTCCGGATGGAGGGAAGATGTCTCAGTACTTAGACAGCCTGAAAATAGGGGAGACTATTGACTTCAGAGGACCAAGTGGCCTACTTGTCTACAAAGGAAAAGGCAAGGCTGACTCAGAAGATACAATTTATCCAGAGCAAACAATACAAAAAACGCATTATAAATTAGTACCAGTAATACTGCTTACAGGTTTTTTTCCAGCTGGGTTCAAGTCTTTATAGAATCACGGAATAGTTTGGGTTGGAAGGGGCCTTTAAAGGTCACCTAGTCCAACTCTCCTGCAATGAGCAGGGACATCTTCAACTCGATCAGGTTACTCAGAGCCCCATCCAAACTCACCTTGAATGTTTCCAGGCATGGGGCATCTACCATGCATCTACCACCTCTCTGGGCAACCCATTCCAGTGTTTCACCACCCTCATTGTAAAAAATTTCCTTATATCCAGTCTGAATCTACCCTCTTTTAGTTTAAAACCATCCCCCCTCGTTCTATCACAACAGGCCCTGCTAAAAGGTTTGTCCCCATCTTTCTTATAAGCACCCTTTAAGTACTGAAAAGCCGCAATCAAGTCTCCCCGCGGCCTTCTCTTTTCCAGGCTGAGCAACCCCAACTCTCTCAGCCTGTCCTCACAGGAGACGTGCTGCCTTCCTCTCATCATTTTTGTGGCCCTCCCCTGGACCCGCTCCAACAGGTCCATGTCTTTCCTGTGCTGAGGACCCCAGAGCTGGACGCAGTGCTCCAGGTGGGGTCTCACCAGAGCAGAGTAGAGGGGCAGAATCTCTGTGGCTACATACTCCATGAACTGAACCTTAGCTTTCATCTCTATTTATTATTTGGGCTGATACTCTCAATATACTTACCCTCTCCCACTAGACATGTTATTAGCATGTCTGCACAAAAGAAATTGCTAGTGTTAATTAAGTCCACAGCCATCCTGGGGGGCAATTGTTCCATCACTATAGAAGTGCTTGTTATTGCTACTATTCTCAAAGAAGGGTATTCTTTCCCTGCTTATATGGACATAGTTTATAAAAACACTTGCTATTTGTACTGTCCAATGCTAATTTCCCAAGTGAAAATGTCCTTTATCAGTAGGAACTACTTTTATGCCAATATAAAATTCCTCGCTTTAGCATAGTGCAGCCACAAACATGTCACAAAAAACTGCTGGCAATTTTGTCAGCAGCAGAACTCAGACACGTGGTTTTCCAGAGCTTTGTATGTTGTGTTCATGTTATCCTGGATGGAGAGAGAATTTGTTGTGAATACAACAAATACAACATTTTGGGCAATTCCAAACTCTCTGTCAGATTTGACTGAAACTGGCAAATCAGCTCACAAAGAGATGAATATACAAAATACACACTGTGCACATTTCAGGTTTACCCTTAAAATAATCTGCATGGGGTAAATGAACTCTTTGACCACATTAATTCCTTTGTGTAGAACTGTTTCCAGAATCTGGGCTTCCAAATATCACTTGGGGTGTGGGACATGAGCAAATAGGAATACAGGTAGTGATGGCTTGATGCCATTATGTAAGTAATAACCCACGTCAGTGTCTGATGTTATCATCAAGTGTCTTACAATCTCTAATCATCTTTCAGGATTTGTTTTAATTTGTGACATCTTCACCTTTGTCTGTTTCCTGCTCCTGCTTTACAGAGGGGGAAGGATGACAGGGCTAAAACAAAGTCAATTAGCTGAACGTGCTGGAAAGGGATCGCAGGTGCTGTTTCCTGCTTTCTTCAATGTTTTCCATCTCTCTCTCTCTCTCTCTCTCCAGGCAAGTTTGCTATTCGGCCTGAAAAGAAAGCTGAACCAGTTACTAAGGAAGTGAAGTATGTGGGGATGATTGCAGGTGGGACTGGTACGTATATATGAAGATTCATCCTTGTTTTCTGACAGCTGGTAGATGTGTTTGTTCATATTTTCTCTCATGTGCTCACCTGTGCTTTCTTTTGCTCCTTCACATTCTCGCATCATTGACCTGCCTTTATTTTTCAGGGATAACACCTATGCTGCAGATCATTCGAGCAATCATAAAAGACAAAGATGACCCTACCATTTGTCATCTGCTGTTTGCTAATCAGGTAATTCTGTACTTTTTTCTGTTTAGAAAGTTTTACTTAACTAACAGAACTCTGCTCAGTAAATGAAATTCTTGCTGAGTAAGCCTGGTACAGAAATACAAACCCTGAGGGGAGAAGTGAACTGAAATGTTGAAAACTTCCCATGTAAAAGCACTGTGGTGAATTAGTTTTTTAATATTACTGCAGAAATGCTGCTTTCCTCCCAGCTAATTCTGGCTTTCCTGTGTCTCATTGCTCTGTTTCTAATCCAGTTTATAAATGTTTTGAAATTGCATTCCTTTGTGCAAGTTGTTAATGTTTGGGCAGACTTTCAGGGCTGGCTGTCTTAGTGGGAACATGAAAGAGGTGGGCATCTGGCTCCTCCAGCAATTGTAACTCCCCAACTTCACAGCAGGGTTTGCATGTGGAATCTTTCTGTTCGAAAACACCTTAGGTGAGGCTAAAATTAACAGTGGTCTCCGCCAGCTCCCTCAGCTATGGAGCTGTGATTCTGCACGGCTGTCTCCTTTCATTTCCATTCCCTCTGTCAGTTCTTCACACGTTTCTATTGCTCTTTGAGGTGTATCGTACTGCCGTGCTGGACAAAGGGAAGATCTCTTGTCCATGGAATCCTTGCAATAGAGATTTCTTGGATGACTAGACAGCCCCTTCTTTGCCTGATGTTCTTCTGGTGTTAATCCTTTTGCTTGTAAATTTCTCCGTCATAACGAATATTTGTTTCTGGATTATGAGCCGTTATTTGCAAGGTGAACCTCACTTAATGCCTGTGCTTTTTAGCTTCTTTAGGCTCTCCTCTGTCATTCCTCCCATATTCAGTGTGTCCTCATTTCCTTTGTACCATACCTGAATTCTAAACCAAGCCTTTTCTACCCAGAAGCTATGATCCAAGTGCCAACAGATGCCTGTTCTGATGCTTTATTACAGTAAGACCTCCTTAAGAGCCCTGCCGGTGCCCTCTGGTGCTGGCTGGTGTGGCTGCAGCAGCTGCTCTCTGCTGAGCCCTAGGAATTGGCATAAAGCGCAGTCTGTATCAGGGCACGAAGGCCAGGATTTGCTATGAGTAATTCAGAATGACTAATGCAGGGCTAGAGCTGCTTTGGCAACCTAGAAAACCTGCTGCTTCTTGGGAACAGCACTTAGGGACTTAGGGAACAGTTGCCTGTGTATTAGCAACAGCCTGTGTAAACATCAGTAAAGAGTCCTTGTACCCACTAACTGCACAAAGATAAAGCAGCCTCGTGACAAATGGTCAGCCAGGAAGGCCTGCAGATTAGATGTTTTTAATATTTAATATTTTAAAATTTTTAAAAATACTTTTTTAATGTGGGTTTTGCTGATCTTTTGTTTTGGCCCTTCTGAAAGAGCTGTGTTGGATGACAGTGTATGTGGGCTCATACTGCGCTTTGGACTAGCGTGCTTTGAGTTGGTCAGACCCAGTAACAGCTTTTCTGAAACGCGTGCAGCCACAGATCCAGAAACAGGCACCTTCTCGGCAGTAGTTGCTGGCACATTCCTCCTTACCCCCACAGTTAGACATAGTGGTGTCCTCAGTGCCAAATTATTAAGGCTGCAGAGGATGGTACCGCTTTTAGTCTCTACCCTTTTCCCTCCTTCCCAAACTGCAGCTGCTCTTACGGGAATAAGGCTTTCTTTTGGCCTTCAATGATGTTGCATCAGGGAGGAGGAGAACTTGATACCCCGGGTAACATTTGTTGTTCCAGTCAGAACTCGATACCCTTTTAGTTATTTGTTCCACATCCTGTTTAAAAGCCAAGCAATCCGCATTTGGCAGTGCTGATGAAATTTGAAGTGGCAAAGGTGAAAAACCTGGCACTTTCCTGACTGAACAGCACAGTATGGAGGGGTAGGGAGATACTTGTGTGCAGTCATAGTTAGTTTTTTGATGAAAGTTGCTGTTGTAATAGGAGTGCTAAAAGAGGGCTTTACTCTACCACTAATTTCCTGAACAAGTGAAAGTTCTGTGTTTTGATACAGGTTTTGCTTTGTTTTATTTTTTAGAGGGAAGGCGTTGCATGGTCAGGATTTGGGAAAGTTACAAACCTTTTTATTAGCTCTGCCACAGGATAGTCATGGAAATAACTTGTGTTTGGTCTCTTCAGCCTGTAAAATGGAGTTGAATAATCTGTTCCATCTCACAGGGCTGCAGAGTAGCTAATGCTCTGTGGTCATCTGAGGGCTGTACTCAAAATGCAGAGCTTAATCATTGTTTTCTTTATCCCGCAGACTGAGAAGGATATCTTGTTACGTTTCGAGCTAGAGGAGATCCAGGTTCAGAATCCCGGTCGCTTTAAGTGTTGGTACACACTGGACAGAGCACCTGAAAGTAAGATCCAACGTGCTATTTCCACTGAAGTTTGAGTATTAATGCATGTGTTCGACAGGAGACACGCTATGTCACACGCATATTTCTCAGCTCCTTTCTTGCTTCATGAATCATGTCTGAATGCATCCAGTAGCATCATTCGTCACACAGTGATGCACCGAAACTCGTTAAGATGTAATCAGGCAGTGTTTCCAAAGCTACAAAGCTCAGGTGAATGGTAGGGCAGTGTTCCTCCCATGACTACACCTGAATATTTACCATTATTTACTCTGGAAGATGACCTTCCTTCCTCCTTCCCCACAGACATAAATTTAACAGGTTACCTTACTGTCTCACGTTTAGAGCATGCATTAAGGCGGCTGCAGGGGGAGCGTTGGAGGCGCTGTATCTTGTGGAGATGCAGCCAAGTGCAGGCTCCTACCTATCTGTCATTGTGTGGCAGTCCGTGGTAGCTGATCTTCTTCCTAGGCAATGGAATTGCCTTTGTATTAACAGTGATCCTCAATGGAAATACTGTTCCAGCTTGGCGCGGTCCAGTTTTAAAGATAATGAGATGTAGTTGGCTGGTCTAAGAGAGAGGATGAGCTAGCTGAAATGTGCCTCCCTCAGCCGTGCAAGTTTGAGGAAGAAAAGACTAAATAGTTACTGCTGTTATGAAAGGGCTCAGTAGTCTCTGTGTCATTCCATGTCGTTTTCATTTCTCTGCCATTCCTCGTCATGCCCACCTACATCAGGATAGACTCACACTCCTATTCAGTGGTAGTTTGGGGTGGAGAAGGAAAAGCCACGTGCCTTCTCTTACCTGTGACCAAGAATACACCTCCGGTAAGGTAGGAGGAAGGGTCTTGGCATCCTTACAGTCTGTTGCTGCTGTGTCATCTTCTGCTATTAGTGCTCTCCTGGAATTTCTAATCACTGTTCCTTTTCTTTGATATTTGTGAATTGTGAACTGATCTTAGCAGTTGCAGTGAAAGTTCCTCCTTAGATCCCCCCTCCGCACTGTTCTGCAAACTTTCACTACCATATGTGAAACTGGACCAAAACTGGAAATTTTTAGATAATCCATGGGAGAAGAATGTGTCAGTCTTACTTTGCCCAAAGGTTTGGGTCAGCAGCTTTTTGCATCCAGGGCTGGGGATGCGATGGATAAACCTGAATCCTAGTATAGATGATGAGCACTGAGAGTGTTCCAGCTGGGAAGAACTTCAGTCAGCTAGATTTCCCAGCCAGTGAACTTGTAGACAGTGGGGTGAGGAGGATGGGTGTTGTTATTTCACAGTGCAGGAGCTGAGAAGACTCACATTCTGTTCACAGCTCTGCTTTGAGATTTCCTTGGGGCTTTTAGGAGACTTTATTAAAAGCTAGCCCTTGTTTTCTCCATGTGTCAGTTTTGCATCTTAAAAGCAGAGGTGGCAAGTTTTTCCATGTAGCGTAACTGTGTTGTGGACACTAATGTGAGTGGGGTGCACAGATGCTACAGACCAGAACGTAACTAAAAAACCCCCAAGTCCCCACGCTTCATTCTAAAGTGACTTGTATCTGTCTTTTCCTCCTTTTTTCCTCGTTCCCCTTCCCCTACTTTCATTTTTTTAACAGATTGGGATTACAGCCAAGGATTTGTGAACGAAGAGATGATCAGAGACCACCTGCCCCCACCTCAGAACGATGTTCTGATCCTCATGTGTGGTCCTCCTCCAATGATCCAGTACGCTTGCATTCCCAACCTGGAGAAAGTGGGCTACACCAAGGACATGAGGTTCTCCTTCTAAAGATGACTGAGAATGCGGTGATCTTGTGTAGAAGGGAAGAAAAAACATTTAATGGGGAACAGGACAAAATTACAGAGATGGCTGATGCACAGTGCTGGGAAGCTACGTTTACATTAAAAATGCTTCATTTTTTTCTGAATCTCTGGCAAGTAAGACACTTAAGCTGAACTGTACTAAAACCATACTGTAAGTTGCACAGAAACAACTGTGTTGTGGAAAGGTAGCGATGCCTAGTGCTCGACTGTAGTGTAGACTCCGTCTCAAGGGAGGGCAGTGTGGCTGCTTTGGACAGTAAACACGCTTTTTCTTAGCACTGTAATCAAATGGCAGAAATATCCGACTTCCTAACACTGTGCATACCCCGTATTTTATTTGGTATGAAGTATGAAAACATATAGAATGTGCTGGATTATTCACCTTGCTTATGCCAAACTTTAATCCTTACAGAGCTTTTGCAGTATGAGGGCCAGGAGTGTTTGCCTTGTATGCATAATCTTTGCAACTTCAGAAGCTGAAAGACACGCGTTCAATCGAAGGATGACAATTAACCATTTATGACTGAAGTTGTTCAAGCTGCCTTGTTAATCAAAACAGAGAGGTAGACAGCAATACAAAATCTGTTGCCTTTGTATTTTGGAATAGCCTCTCTTTAATGCAAACACTTTTCCAGCTGGTCACGGTTCTCATCCCCAGGCAATGAAAGAAACTACATAAAGCAGGTGGCTTTGGGCACTGTGCCACAAAGAGCTGGAATTTTTTGCTTGTATGCGTGTGGAATACTGAAAAAAAAAAAAACCAAACCTAACTTTTGTATTTACCTTTAAGTGGTGGATGGTGCCATAGGAGTGCAAAAGCAGTTGTTCTGCATGTCCTGTGCAGTGAAAAAAAGTGCTGGGTGAAAACTGGATCTAGTTTTAGTTTCTTGTTTCCCAGAGATGGATTTGGAACAAAGGGAGCTCAGGGTTCATTGCTGGGGTGGGTTTCGGCAGGTAGCCCAGTTTCGGATGCAGTGCGCATACAGTCAGGGGACTCGCCTGCGCGCCTTCCTTGGGCAAAGCTCCAAGGGGTTTTGCTTGGTGAGGATGCACGGGAACAGCTGTAAGTCACCAAACTGACAGCAAATTCAAATATCTCACTAAATCTAAAACTGTTTCTTAGATGCTGTTTACTATAGCTCTGATTTTTATTTTTTTTTTTAATATCCTTTTTTTTACAGCAGCCTTGTACATAATCTTTAGTAAACTTAAGGCATCTTATGTGCCAATCCTTCTGCTCTAAACAGCAGAGACGCTGCTGGGATTAGAGCTGTCCTGCAAGGAATCTATGAAACTAAAAATCTTGTTCTGGTGATGAAATCGGAGAGACCGAAAGGCTGTTTAGTCGTACGTGAAGTCATGTGATGCTACTTAGCTACAGGTGTCAGCATATAACACCACTTTTTTAAAGATTCAGGTAGGTACTGGAGGTTATAGCTTGCCGTGTTTTCTTCTGTGCCTGCACAACAGATGGGTACTGTGCACTTAAAAGGTTAATTTTCAGCATGAATTAAAAGGAGAAAAAGATACTACAGTTAATTTAAGGAACCTCAAATGGATAATACTTACTTATATGTTAATTTTATTAATTAGCCGCTTGCCTCTGAAGTCTTGAATTTTTGATGTGCGCTTCTGAAACTTGTTCTTTAATACTGTACTCCAAAATTCAAATAATACTGAAGTAAGTTTCAGTCTCTTCTTTAGGAGGCAAAAAGCGGAAATATGAGAGAAATTATCTTGCTGCTGGTTTATATCACTGTGGCGTAGATTTTTTTTCATGATTGTATTTAATGAAGTTTTCTTGTAAAAAAAAAAAATGAGCTGGTGACGCATCAACTAGTTTGTATTACTCTGCTCATTCAAGTACTGGCTTTTTTCACATCTGTGTAAAAAATAAAGTATCTTGCAGGTGAATCACCTGTGTGTTACTGAGCATGTCATCTTCATCCTCGTAAGAGACAAACTGTAATTATAAAACACTCTAGAAAGTGAAGGTTCAAAAAAAAAAAAAGCAAGCCTGTTTGTTAGATTTGTTTACCCAAGTGCTAATCTCTTTCTTTTGTTTGAGTTTGGTGAAAATTGCTGTATTTGGATAACGAGTCAAGGAGTAAATTGTCTCTGTTTTTTCTCCCTATCACTCCAGTGATTATTTTGTACATCTTCCTTGTGAACATGAGGCGCTCTTACTAAATAAAAAGACGGATTTTATATAATCTACTGAAACAAAACTGTGTCACAGTCCCTGTTGCTTGATGGCCCTGTAGTACAGGGTTTAAAAAAGTCAGTGATAAAAGTTGGGGTTTGTGTATTTTTTTTCCCCTTTGAGCCAGTTCATCTGCCTTACAGAAAATCTGAGTGTTCCTGCAGTTTTCTGATGGGAGGTGCTGAGTACTGCTAACCTCCCTGTTACAAAGCAGCTGGGGAACCATGAAGCTCCTGCATGAAAGGCATTTTGGGGAATGTTTCCTGAGAGACACAGGATTGAAAAGGTTGCAGTGGCTGCTGCTTTGGCTTTACCAGGGGTGGGTCCCCTTCCCGTAGCACTGTGCAAAGGCAGACACCCACACCCCCACACCCCCCCACGGATGGCAAAGGCGTGCTTGCGTATTGCAGGGTCTTTCTCTGGGTGCTGCTCCTGTTGCAAGAGAGGATCTGAGAGGAAGCAGGTAAGAAATGAGCCGTTCCTTAACCTCACTCCTGCAGCTGGAGTCTCAACCCTGTACTTCTCTTGGGGCCGCAGCAGTCCCAGCTCAGTTGATTTGTGCTGGTGTTAGTCCTGTCACTGCCATGGGGGCCAGAGCTGCAAGCGGCTCCTGGTTCTGGGCTCTGGGCTGCGTTGGGAGAAGCAACTGCTTGCCCTAGGCAGGGCCTGGCCTGGCTCCCCAGCTGCCTATGTGACTGAGGGGGGCTTGGGCTGCTCTGATCTTTCAAGGTGCTGTATGAGAGGTAAGGAAATACGCATTGCCTCGGGGGGGGGTTTAACAGCGTCCCCTGGAAGTTTCTGGTAAAAATAACTTGGTTTACAAAAAGGAGCCTCACACTGTTTCTGAGCTTTTCTCCTCTTGATCCTGCCCGAGTGAACGGGAAGAAAAGGAGCCTTGCTTGGGCAAAGCCAGTGCAGCGGCCAGGCTCTCCGTGTTTGTAACTTCTTACACGTATGGGGCGGGTGTGAGTGGGGGAACAGCAAGATGGGCATGGGGAGCAGGGATCGGCGACTTCCCTCGTGTGACCAGCATAAGGGGCCAGTGGTAGCATTTGCTCAGTGCTTCTGGGGATTGTCCCCTGCCTGCCGCCCC